CTTTGCTGGAGCAGGAACTCCTCTCAGGCCCTCGCTGCTCCGGGGTCAGCTCAGCCACCTTTGGCCTCCCTGTGCCAGCTGTTCTTAAATTGCTGTGTCGGCCCAACCTAGGGTAAGTTATGTTACTTTTACCTTAAGACTTCATATTTTCTATGTAAGTTCTCCCATCCACATCTCTGGGCCAATCGTATTACAACACTACTTTTCTCAGCTGGTTGGATGATCTTAATATGTCTTTAGCTCTCCATGGTATTTTATTTTTATTCACATTCTTCAAGCTCTACATAGGACAGGAGTATCTACATAGAAAGGGCTGACGCATTCTGCAAGTTTGTGTTTGTGGTGTGTGTGCGTATGTGTGTGTGCGTGCGCATGCCATAACAGCGTGGGTGTGTTTTCACCTACTGGACTGACTCTCAAGCGGTTGCAGAACTGCAGCAGCCGCGGTATCGCTGGGAACCTGTGCGAAATGCAGATCACAGAGCCCCGCCCCAGGCCTGCTGACTGGGAGACTCAGAGTCTACGTCTGAACAAGCCCTCTGGGTGATTCTCTTGCTTGATAAGGTTTGAGAACCACTTATCTTCAGGATAAATCAGTTTTTTATAATCTGCTCCCTAAGATGGAAACTTCGGATTTGCTCTGTTAAGATCGAAACATAAACAATGAGCCCTGACATTGTTGCAGAGGCGTCAGTAGACGTTTTCTTTTTTCAAACTTATTAAACTGATAAGACATGCTTATGCGCGCGTGCGCACACACACACAAACACACACACACACACACACACACACACACTCATCTTCCAGCCCTCCTATTTTGAGAGACCTCCTCTTGGCATCTGGCTCATACTCCCGGGGACATTCAGTCATTGAGAAAAGCAGGTCTGAGCCTCACTATTTCACACTAATGTAATTCAAAGAGAATGGCTGAAGAAAGCAAATGATTAAGCCAAAGAAATGAAGCTGCGATGGTGGAATTTTAGGCACCTGGGTGAGGGGTGGTGGTGATAGTGGAAATGGAGGTGAAGATGGTGGTAGTGAGGGGGTATTAGTTTTGGTGGTGGTAGTGATGGAAGTGGTGGTAATGGCGGTGCAGTTGATGGAGGCGGAGGTGATGTTGGTGTCCTTGGCGGTGTAGTTTGGGTGGTGCAGCTTACATACCAGTCTCTCAGATCATATTACCTGCCTCACCGACTCCTCACTCAAAAAGTCTGCCCTGCAGGTGCCGTGGCGTGCCCCATGGTGCGTGTGCTTGGACTTGTGTGAGCATGTGTCTGGCCACTTTGGCTTTAGTGCCTCCAAAGTTTACAAAACCCCTAAAGCTTTTAAAATAAAAACGGGGGTTAAACCATTTGGATCCTCCAAATTAGAAAGAATAAATGAACCACCCAGCTGCAGTCATGGGCAATTACTGTGATTCTGAGAGGGCTTCGGGTTAAGAGAATGGAAGAGCTGATTATAAACGAGCCAGGAGTAACGAGGGAGGTCAGAGCAGCCCCTGAGCTCTGGGGGAGCGGCCAGCACTCCGCCCCGTCCCACGCGGGCTGGCTGGAGGCGCAGACCTCCTTCCACCCTGGCCTCCAAACCCGGCTGGGGCCGAGGCGCCCGGCCTATTTGTGCAGCTCCGGCAGCTTCAGAAAGAGAAGGCGGCTGTAAATAAACCCAGAGAAGGGCGAGGAATCGAGGGCAGGAAGGGAGAGAGCAGGAGGGAGGCTCCCCGGGAAGGCAGACAGGAATCAGGACTTCTGACCAGGAAAGACGGAGGGCGGCAGGAAGCAGGGAGCCTGCAAAGCACGTGGCCGTCAGGAGGCAGGTCGGTGCCCCTTCCCACTCCACCCTCAGGAATATCGGGGCCTCATCTGCGGATCCACTGCGGTCCTTAAGCAGGCCTCCGGCGTGCCCATTCGCATTCTAATTTTATCCTTGTCTTGCTTTTTTTTTTTTTTTTTGCGGTACGAGGGCCTCTCACCCCTGCGGCCTCTCCCGTTGCGGAGCACAGGCTCCGGACGCGCAGGCTCAGCGGCCACGGCTCACGGGCCCCACTTGAAGTCTTTTATCTCTAAATATAGTAACCCCGTGAGGGAGGTTTATTACTATCCCACAGGTGAGGATGTTGAGGAAGAGAGGCCAAGTCAGCCACCCAGCTAGTGCAGGAGGAGCCCAGACTCGGCCCCAGGCAGCCGGGACCCAGGTCCCAGGCCCTGCGCCACCACACGGAGCTGTCTCTTTACAAGCCGTGATGTGAATTCCCACAGACTCACTCCCAACCCAGCCACATATGCCACCAGATACAGGCCGCGACGGCCAGTGAATCTTTCTCAAGTCCAGCATGACAAGACTAGGTTTGTAGGGGAAACAGTTGTCCTCCAGAGGTTGGGGTACCGCCAGGGAGCCCAGAAGTCCCCGCCCCAGGCATTGGGAGGAGGCAGGGCTCCTTGCAGCCAGACTGTCTGAGGAAGAGCATGAACCCCCCACATGTCTGCGAAACTGCAGACACTGTGCAGAGAGCTCCTTGGAGGGCTTCTCACTCAACAGCCCAGAGGCCCAGAGGCTTGACATAGAAAGTGCAAGGCCCCTTTAACCACAGGGCAGGTGTCCAGAGAGAGGGCACAACCAAAACTGCAGGTTCTGAAAAAAAAAAAAAAAGCCTGTGGTTGAAGACTATTCTAGGTCAACCCAAACCCCAGCTTGCCTAGTGAACTTGGTCAGCTCGCGACAGGAGCTCAGGGTGTAAAGTGCTGCAGGCTTGTGTGTTCGTCTGTTCATTGACACTCGGACTTGTTTTTAGAAAAGAATTGCAGTAGGGTAGAGAAAGCAAACATAAAAATTTCATATATATCTTTAAAAGACCCAGAAAAATGATTTTAAAAATAATCAAGGGCTTCCCTGGTGGCGCAGTGGTTGAGAGTCCGCCTGCCAGTGCAGGGGACGCGGGTTCGTGCCCCGGTCCGGGAAGATCCCACATGCCATGGGGCGGCTGGGCCCGTGAGCCATGGCCGCTGAGCCTGCGCATCCGGAGCCTGTGCTCCGCAACGGGAGAGGCCACAACAGTGAGAGGCCCGCGTACCACAAAAAAAAAAAAAAAAAAAAAAGACTTCAAGCACTTGGTTCAGCGCCAGGCACAACGCAAATTACAACAACGGTCATTTATTATTACTTCCCCTGGGCAGCAGTTGGGCACTGGCCTAACAGACCATTGGGAAAGTTGCACCACTGGTATAATTAGACTGGGGTTCGATGTGGGGTTGTTAGATGCCCTGGAACTGGACTTCTGTCTTGGATGACCCCACCCCAGACCTCAAGGTCCACAGACTGTCCAGCTGCAGCTGTCCCTGGTTTCACACACGCCCCGTAATCTGCACCCACAGCCAGCCACTCTCTCTCTCTGTGGAGCACCAGGTTACCACCATCACCAAGACTGATGCCAGCCGGGCCTTGCACAGAGAAGCCAAGGCCTTGGTTAGGTGAGGAATTTTCCGAGGCTTCCATTTATTTATTTACTCCTTCGTTCGTTCCTGTGCCAGGGCTCCCTGCTGCGTACAGCTGTCCCATCTGCAGCTACCCCTCGTCTTCCAACTAACCTTCTACGCTGAGGAAATCCCACGCTGCGAGTCCTGACTGCTCCACACAAGTCAGGACTCAGTTCCCAGCTCCCCTTGCAGCTGGGATGCAGGATCCATCCATCAGACAGGGCCGTGCGAGGCCCCAGTTCAGAGGTGAGTGTGGGCGGGAACAGGCTCGGAGGGCGCGGACGGGTTCCGTTTGGCTGGCACTTGGGAGGCAAATGCACCTGGTCTCAGGTGATGTCCGCGGGGTCGGGGGGCTACCAGGTCCAGCTCCCAGGGCAGGAGGGCCATCAGTGGAGAGAGCGGTGCTCCCCACGTCAGGGCGTGGCGTGATCTGAGGCACTGATCCTGGAAGATCAGCCTTGCTCTGTTTCTCCAGCTGCTCCATGTTTCTGTGTGTTCACACCTAATCCACACCAATAGTTCCCTTTCGGCCTAAACTAGTTGGGTACATTCTGTCGTTCACAACCAGGACTGATGCAAGTTTACGGAGCGCCCACCTCCTGCCAGGACTGCGTTTTCCAGCCTACTTGGCAGTTCACTGCGTCACCTCACTTAATCCTCGCAGCAGCCTGAGGACGGGCGACGGGCTGAAGAGTAACGCTGCCCTGGCTCACTCGCAGGTCAGCTTGCACGGGGCCAGCAATAGGCCTCCTCAGAGGAGACAGTAACTTTTTGTCCTCACATCTACAATCTGCTCCAGACCTTTTCTAGAAGAGACTGGAGCACTGAGATGGGCAGTGCAGCTCACCCAGGATCTCAAGGTGCTTCTCAGGCCACCTGGAGCAAGCGGGGAGTCCTGGGCCATCTGGATCTGGCTTCCTCCCTCTCAGTCCAGAGCCTGTGGGTCTGAGGGCAGAGCCTGGGGTCTGGGGAAGAGTGCGCACCACGTCCAGGCCTGCCCGCCACTGCCCTGGGAGCCCATCTGAATCTGGGGCTGAGTCCATCTCCCAGCTGCCCAAAAGAGATGGACGCTGCCTTAGACTGTGTGTGTGTATGTGCATATGCGTGTGCGTGTAGGTGTATGTGCATATGTGTGTGTAGGTGTGTGTATGTATATGTGTACGTGGGTGTGTGTATATACGTGTAGATGTGTGTATGTGCATGTGCGTGTAGGGGTGTATGTATATGTATATAGGGGTGTGTATATTTGTATATGGGTGTGTTATGTGTATGGGTGTATATGTGTAGGTGTATGTATGTGTGTCTGTGAATGTATGTGTATATGGCATGTATGTGTATGCATATGTGTGTACATGTATGTGTATAGGTGTCTGGCATGTATGTGTATCTGTATGCATGTGTGTATACATGTGTATGTAGGTGTGTGTATGTGTATAGGTGTGTGTGTGGCATGTATATGGGTGTGTGTATCTGTGTATGCATATGCGTGTACACGTGTATATGTGTAGGTGTGTGTGCGTAGATGTGTGTATGGGTAGGTGTATAGATGTGTGTGTGTGTGTAAGGTGCTCTTCTTCCGGGCACTGTCCTTTACTGCAGTTCCTAATTTTATTAAGTCATCAGAGCTCTTCACTGAGTGTTCAGAACATTCAGTTAATCGCGTCTCTGCAGAAGCCAGTGCTGGCCCCACCGAAGGGGCTGCCGCACTCCCTCTCTCTCCTTCAGCTGACCCCCGTCCCAAATCAAAGTCACAGAGCAGTTAACTCTTTCTGTGAGCAACACTTTCTAACTCCCACAGTTACTACCTTCAGGCCAGAAACAGAGCCTAAGTTCTGGAACTGACAGCTGCTCTATGTCCTTCACTCACGCAGCACCTGTGTATCGAGTACTCGCACTGTGCTGGGCGCTGTCTGAAGTGTGAGGACCCTGGTGTGACAGGGACAGGGTGAGCCTGGAGTGTAGCGGTGGGTGGATATTGGGCAGGCGGGGGGGAGTGTGGGCGGGAGTCCCCTCTGAGGTCGCCCGCTGAAAAGGCAGGGGCCCTGCAAAGAGCGGGGGCAACGGCCAAGGCCCCAGAGGAGAAGCAGCCTGGGCGCTCCAGGGACCAGGAGAGCTGGAGTGTGGCCAACAGCAGGAGGATGTGAGGACAGGACACAATCTGCAGGGCCCAGTGCAAAATGAAAACGCGGGCCCTCGTTCACAAATTATTCAGGATTCCAGACGGCGACAGCAGAGGAAGAAGGAAGCGTGGGACCGGCGGGACGGCAGACGTGGTGCCTGTGAAGCCGGCCCTGTGCGAGGAAGGGGCTGAGAGGTGGACGGGGCCGGATCATGAGGCCTTGGGCCGAGGAAAGGGCTGGATTTTATTCTACAGGTCTTCCTCGACTTATGATGGGGTCACATCTGATAAACCCATTGTAAATCGAAAATACCGTAAAGGTTGAAATGCATGTAATACAGCAAACCTACCGGACATCATAGCTCAGCCTCACCCACCCTAAACGTGCTCAGAACACCTACATTAGCCTACACTGGGGCAAAATCGTCTAGCACAAAGCCTGTCTTACAATAACGTGTTGCATTATCTCTTGTGATTTTCTGAATACTGTACTGAAAGTGAAAAACAAAGTGTCCGGGTACAGAGTGGCTGCAGGCGTATTGGCTGTTGACCCTTGTGACCGCGGGACTGCTGGCGCCGCCCAGCATCGCGAGAGAGATGGTCCCACACATACCTAACCTGGGAAGAGATCTAAATTCAAAGTTCAAAGTACAGTTTCTACCGAGTGTGTATCACTTTCACACCATCATAAACTTGAAAAATCTCAAGTCCAACCACCACAAGTCAGGGACGGTCTGTACCTGTGCTGGAGGCTACAGGAAGGGCCCAGGCCTGGGGGGATCTGCGTGGGGTCCGTCTTTGAAGCACCACTTGGTGCTGCGTGGGGAACCCAGGAGGCCGGCCTGGCCTGGGGCTGTACAAAAGGAGATGGTGGGAAGACGGCGGGCTTTAGGGAGGGCTGATGGGCCGGCTGTACGCAGCGAGGGGACAGAAGCCCTGGAGTTCTGCCTCATGTTTGCGTTTGGAGAGGCCCATTAGCCAGCCCTGCGGGAATGTGGACGACGGGGCCTCCCCCGGGGCGGCCACACCTCTCTGAACAGATGCCCTTCTCTCCCTTCACAGAAGTCCGATCCCAGCTCACAGCCGGCGACAGTGCTTGCTCGAGACGCCGCGGTCGGAGGCCATGCTGCCAGATGCTACCTCTCCCCACTAAGAAATCCGAAGACAAAATGTGCAGCCACTGTCCAAAACTAACATGTACAAAACAGCACAGAGCCCGTTCGAGCAGCAGGTGTCACAGCAGTAAACGCTGGAGCCAAACGCGTTGGCTCTGGCAATGCTCGTGCGTGTCTTGTCCTGGAAATGGAGTTCATCGAAATTGGGAACTGGGAATTGACAGCTCAGCAAAGCTGCCCTCACCGGCTGTCATCCAGAGCGCTGCCGGGAAGGGCAAGGTTACCACTGCTCGAGTGCCTGGCCCGTGCAGGGTACGGTCAAGTGTTCTGGGGCCATTCCCCACGTTGTCTGACTCAGTCCCTCCCACAGCCTGTGAAGTCAGTAGGCTTCTCCCTCATTTTCAGATGCTAAAAATGGGGCTCAAAAAGCTGAGTGATTCGTTCAGGCTCACCCCAAATTTAAAAGTGGGGGTGGGGGCAGATCCTACGAGCTAATGCCCCCTTTTCTGTGCTAATGGCACCTGGTTTCTATGGAAACTGGCTGGCCCCAAGAGATGCATCCTGACTGGTCTTGGCCGGTCACAAGACTCCTGTCCTCCTTTGCCACTGTTAGTATGGGGTGAGCCTGGGACCTCTTCTGGCCAATGAGATGGGAGAGAAAGCGGCGGGAACAGAAACTTCTGGCAAAGATTTTCTCCCTGATAGAAAGGAGAGAACAGTTCAAGGACAGGTCCCCTTGGCATCCTCTGCCTCTCCTTCCTGCTGGTGGACATGTTGTGGGAGGGTAAGGTGTCTGCCTGTGGCAGCCTTTTCAGCACCATGAGGCAGTAAGGATAAAGCCAACCAGCTGAAGATGCAATGGAAGCCTGGCACGTGCCCAGGGCCCGGATGACACGGCTGGGCTGTCCAACCAATCTTAGGACCTCCTACCTCCAGACTCCTGTTGAGTCAGCAGCAAACGTCCAGATGGTCGAAGCCATGGTCCGTCAGGACTTTATTAGTTATTTTCAGTTAAACACCTCCTAAGGTAAACCCTGGGTTGGTCTAACTTCAAAGCCCATGATCTTTTTCCTGTTACCCTCTGATGTTTACATGGGGTCCAGTTGTCACCCAAGGTCCGGTGTCAAACTACTGCACAATAATTACGGGAATGATCAGACTTTGAAACTGAAGAGAAAGCTGCCAGTTTAAAGAAGGACAGGGGGTCATTTCAGCAAGGTCAGAAATCTGCCTTCTTGGTTGTGCTTGGCGTGAATCCTAGCATCACGGGACTTCCAAGCCGGAAGAGAACGAAACGATCACCTGGTCCAACCCCATGTTCCAGAGGACGAAGCTGAGACTGTGAGAAGCTAAGTGACTCACGCCGAGGCCCGAGGGCAGCATCGGCCCTGGGACGGGAATCGGCACCCCGCTGGCCCCCGCTCACACGACCTCTCCTCACTCCCCACACAAACTCTTCATCAACTTTGCCCCAAACTCTCACTGGTCAATCACCTCAGATCAAGAAAAGACTGTCAATGTAATCATATTCTTGTGACAGGATAAACCCTGGTTTCTTTCACACGTATTTCCTTGTTGAGTCAAGTTACCAGCCTTTCCAACGTGCTCAGCAGCACATCATGCCCAGAAAATGGAAAGAACCCAGAGACACTGGGGCGCAGAGGGTCAAGTTCCTGGCTTTTCAGATTAAAATCGTTTCTTGAATCCCATCACAGAGATGACTGTCTTGAAGGCAAGTGCGCTCAAGGGATCCAGTCAGAGGCGTTGCCATAAACACCGCACTGCGAGTCAGAGGACCACACGCCACGTGAAGACGGCTCAGGCTGCGGGGGAAGGGGCTCGGGTGCGGGGACGCCCTTAGAAGGGGACTGATGTCCACGGAGAAGGGGCGGGGAGGACAACAGGGACACGAGACAGGCTTGAGGAGAGGCAGACCCCTCTCAAGGGGAGTGGGGGGCCGGCACCAGGTCACTAAGACAGGACTTTGGAATCCGAGGACAGAGGGCTCGGGCCTCCTAACCGTCCGGAGCTCTGGGAGGGCCGCCCAGCGCACAAACAGAACCCATGCCACCGAGGACTGGGCCAGGAGAGTCGAGGTGTTTTCCTGGAGCAGCGGAAGAGAGGCTGGTTGATAGTCCTGAGTCTCTCTCGGCCGCAGGGAGGTGGTGGAGGTCGGCAACCCTCCCGGTGCCCTGGAAGGCAAGGCCACGGGCATCGCCACGACCAATGCGAGCCTGAGGCCACATGGAACTGTGGCCACCTTGGTGGACACCGATAACGGACAGTTCTGGCCAGGGAATCTCATTAGGAATGGACGTCGTTAGTGAAACATGAGAGGAAGACGCCATACCTCCACGAATGCTAGTGCAAGCAGGGCAGACACTTCCCCTGGGTACCACCACCTCACGTGGTCATTCATTCACTACCATTAAAGTGCTACATAACAAACCACCACAAGCCTGGGTGGTGTACATCTCAGGAGCCCGTGGGGTACAGCTCACCTGAAACGTGCCTCTCACGCGCCTGCAGTAGCTGTGCCGACGGATCTAGGATGGCCTAGGTCACACCTGGGGTGAGAGCTCTGCTCCAAGAGTCTCATTCTTCTCCTGGGTCAGCGAACTAGGGTAGGCATTCCTAGTATTAACGGCAGAGGAGAAGATCAACAAAGTCTGATCAATGCAAGTGCTTCTGGAGCCTCTAATTGCTTCTCGTTTGCTAAGATCCCATTGGTCAAAGCAAGTCACACATTCAAGGCCAGAGTCAGAGTGGGTGGGCACTCCTGACGGGGCGGGGGAGGCATTGGGCCACTCTTGCAATCTACCAACTGATTTAACTGATCTTAAGCACAAAACGGCTGCTAGATCATGAAACTGTCCACAGTTAACCTGTAATTTACCTAAATTAGGTTTTCCGCCATTAGACAGAAATGGGATTCAGGATAAAAATTAAGTTTAATTGTAGAAAAGATAAAGTTACACTTTTTGCTCCTGTGATTGGTGACTGCGATTTTTTCCCACTACATTCTTTAAGCCAACGATTCAAAAGCACCAAAGCAATCAGTAAGTTAGCCTTAAATACTATAAAAGCCAGTTTTCTGAAGACTCCAACCAAACCAGGAAATGATATCCAAAGTTGATATGATGTTACTTCCAAAAAGCAAACAGAGAGGCAAGGGGACTCATTAAAAATTCCAATTTGGGACTTCCCTGGTGGCGCAGTGGTTAAGAATGCGCCTGCCAACGCAGGAGACACGGGTTCGAGCCATGGTCCAGGAAGATCCCACATGCCGTGGAGCAACTAAGCCCGTGCGCCACAACTACTGAGCCTGTGCTCTAGAGCCCACGAGCCACAACTACTGAGCCCATGTGCCACAACTATTGAAGCCCGAGTGCCTAGAGCCCATGCTTCACAAGAGAAGCCACTGCAATGAGAAGCCCGTGCACTGCAACAAAGAGTGGCCCCTGCTCGCCGCAACTAGAGAAAGCCTGCGTGCAGCAATGAAGACCCAACACAGCCATAAATAAATAATAATTAATTTTAAAAAAATCCAATTTGGCTTACAACTGTGGATTCTGGAACAAAGTGTGCAGGAGCCTCTGACACTCTTCCTAGAATACCACCTTTCTAATGGCAGCCATCTCTGTGATTACAACGATAACTGCTTCAAATGTAAAATACCGCTTATGGGGCTAGAAGATCTGTCTGGGTCAAGGCAAAACATAACACTCAATTGCTTGTTGCCAAGTGAATAATGTTTTCATCATTAAACCAGTCCTGGGGTATAATCTCACGTGTTATGGGTGGCTCAATTTAGGGCCGACTGGAACACCAAACCCTAAAGACAACGTTCCATGTTGCCCCTTGTACCAGAGCGAAAAACCTCTTTTTCGCTGAGCTATCCAGAGTAAAGGAAGGGCCACGGCCTCGGGGGGCAGGGAGTAAAACCAGAAGGGACTCGGATGCCACGGGATGAAGGAAGGGGCTCCCTAGGTCACAAGGCTGTGTCTGATGGGGGGGTCCCCTCCATTTTCATAAGCTTGCTGCACTTGTCAGTGTCTCTGCCACGTCCTGTCAGCTGCCTGTGTGTGTGTGTCTGCCCATGCACACACTGTTCTGTTCCAGTGCTTCAAAAATGTTTTCAGAAACAAAACGTTTGTGTCTCTTTTTTAATTCAAAAAACGTTTTTATTTAAGTATCATGTGTGCATTCTATTCCTACTTCTTATACCCTACAGCAAACTCAGCACCAGAAGTTTAGATTCCATTCATCACCACACTCTTTACCTCTTTTGCCCTCCCCCCACTTCCCTTCAGGTAACCACCACTCTGTTCTCTGTATTTGTTTTTGTTTGGTTCGTTCATTCATTTTGTTGTTGTTTGTTTGCGGTACGCGGGCCTCTCACTGCTGTGGCCTCTCCCGTTGCGGAGCACAGGCTCCGGACGCGCAGGGTCAGAGGCCATGGCTCACGGGCCCAGCCACTCCGTGGCATGGGGCATCCTCCCAGACCGGGGCACGAACGCGTGTCCCCTGCACCGGCAGGCGTACTCTCAACCACTGTGCCACCAGGGAAGCCCCGAACCACCAGGATTTTGGCGTCAGCTGGGCCGCTGGGGTCTGCCCTTCTTGGCCTCCACCTCTGATGCCTAATCTCTCCATCACCAACTTCCGCGCCCCGCCCCACGCACCGGACAACGCCCACTGGGGACGGGGGGCCGCAGCTCTGGGATCGGGGTATTGGGGCCCTCCGTCTCCCTCCCGATTTCCGCCTTCACATCCTGAAAACTACCCCAGGAGCTGGAAACCCAGTCGCAAGCACGGCCCCAGGAGCTGTGACTTGAACCCGCGGGGCCGGCGGCCGCACGTGCAGAACTTCCCCTCGCCCTCCGGCCCCAGGAAGATGGTGTCAAGAAAACCCAGCTCTCCCGCGGGCCTCCTTTCTAAAGCTGACGTTAGAACCGGTGTGTGGAGGCGCAATACACCTGAGCTCCCAGCGCCACCGCGCTTCCAGGGGCGCACGCTGGACGCCTCGCGGTACAGCCAGCGTGGGAACTCAGGGTCCCAAGACCGCCCTCCACCGAGTCCTGGCCCCCAGCAGGGTATCCGCCGCCTGAACCCCCTCCCCGTGCCCCCCGCCCACTCTCACCCGCGCCCGGGGCTGGGCTCCACACGGATCCAGTGAAAGGGAGGCATCTTCAGTTCTGGATCCTTTTGAACGACTCCTGTTGGGCCTGCAGTCCCTGTGGGCCCGGGGCGCCCCTGTGGCTGCCGCCACAAACTACTCGGGACGGACCCCTCCCCCCGCGCCGGGCCGCACCCTGATTGGCCCAAGGCCAAGCTGATCTCCATGGCAGTGATTGGTTAGGAGTGGGCACGTGATCCAGTCTGGGCTGGTTTCCTGGCTCCCAATGCAGAGACCCTGAGAGAGAACCGCATCCTCCGGAGGCTGATTGGATGTGCAGCTGAGGGGGATGCAGAGACCCCACGGGCCAAACCTGGTGCCACCCCACCTTCAAACGCCCGGAGTGAAGTTTAACACATTGCCTCATCGACTCCGCCAGCTTCCGTCCTGCTCTTCTGTCCCCTCTTCTGGAAGCATCCAGATTCCCTACACAAATGCTGAAAACACCTGGGCGCTTCCAGGAATCAAGTCCTGTTTGGGTTCTGCCTCGTCCTCACCTGGATCATTTCCCTCCTTCCCCACTTGCATGCTCTTTGCTTGACCTTCTGTAGACACCAGCTCGTTGGGGAGCATCACAGCTGTTTCCTCTTCCACCCAAATGCCCCCACTACTTAGGGAGAGCCAGAAGCACCCAGAGGCTGCCGTCTCCTGAGCCCTGCCCTGCGCCAGGCTGTGGGCTGGGCTCCACACGCTATCCTTACCTTCTTCTCCAGGACTGTTCTTATCCGGACTTTACATACTTGGCACTGAAGCTTGGAGAGGTTAAGTGGCTTGTCCAAGGTCACAAAGCTGGCAGGTGACAGAAACAGAAATTAGTAGACAGGGCTGCTCCACACGGCTGCCTGCCTACACCCCCCCCCCCCAAAAGCCCTCACCCTGACCTGCCTTCACAGCAGAGGAGCGGGAGTTCGGGGGCTTCCACCGTGTGGAAGGGACAGGAAGGCGTGTCAGGTACATTGCCACACTCACTGTGTCACGAACCACCAGGTGTCCTCGATGACGTGACACTGAGCTAGGCATCCCTGCCGCTTTGGCGCTAGGCTCGCCCACGTGGCTCGCTTCAGCTGTGGGCACCTGGGGAGAGTGACGTGATGGTTCCTAGGAGACCCTGTCCGTTCCCACTTGATTTCCTGCACTTTTGCCATGACTGTGAGAAAAAGCTTCCCTGGAGCAGCTGCTGCCCCTTGAGCCTGGGCCCGGAGTGCACACCTGGAGTAGAGGCATCCGGCTGGCCCCAGGCTCTGAAGGGAGAAGCTGAGGCTCCCAGCCACACCCGGCCTAGAGCAGCAACTCCCGGTCAGGTGCAGACATTGCCCCAGCTAAATCTTAGCACATGTCACTGAAGTTCTTGGTTGTTGGCTATGTGCATGGGGGTGAGGGTCACATGCGCTCTGTTTGCACCTGTATTTTCATAACTTGTGCTGGTTTGCCACATCTTTGACGAAGGTGTTTTGGCCTCAGAGTGATACCTTGTGGGTAAGGCACCTACTAGAGCAGGCCCAACCCCTGGGCCATGGACAGTACCAGTCTGTGGCCTGATAGGCACTGGGCCACACGACAGGAGGTGAGCGACAGGGTAGCAAGCGAAGGTTCATCTGTACTCACAGCCGCTCCCCGTCACTCACAATACCACCTGAGCTCCGCCTCCTGTCAGATCAGCACCGCGTTAGCTTCTCACAGGAGCGCGAACCCTGCCGTGAACCGTGCGTAGGAGGGATCTAGGTTGCTGCTCGCTCCTCATGAGAATCTAATGGCTGATGATCTGAGGTGGTGATGCCAGTGCTGGGGAGCAGCTGCAAATACAGATTATCCTTAGCAGAGCGGTCTGACGGCACAGAGACCATAATAGATCAATTACTTTGTATAATTATTTCATTATAGATTACAATGTAATAATAATAGAAACAAAGCTCACAATAAATGTAATGCACTTGAATCATCCCGAAACCATCCCTCCATCCCCCACCGTCTGTGGAAAAACTGTCTTCCATGAAACCAGTCCCTGGTGCCAAAAAGGTTGGGGACCGCTGTACTAGAGGACCTGGTATAGAGCAGACACTTGGTAAATGCAGAGACGACGATGACCGTGTTGGGGGTGATGGCCGTGCTGGGGGTGACGGTAATTCTGTGACGCACTGGGTAGAACCCTGGCTGCTCGGGACCACCCCTGAGCTCCCCACTCCCCTCCACAGAAGGAGAACTTCTTTCCAGAAAGAACTTGGTGTTACAAGGAGCCTCGGGCTTTCAACCCAAGTAGCACCTCCGTATCCCAGTCCAGTTACACAGCAGCTGGCCCAGGCCTGAGTGGCTCTCTCTAACGGTATTTACCTGCTCCTGGCATTTTGCTGATAAACACAGAAGATACTTTTTCAAAAAAAAATTAATGAGATTATTATAGAAAATAAATAATCATCAATTAAGGAAACTCAGAGAAACGTGGACTAAAAGGAACTGATACGATGGACTTTTTCATCTTGTTATTTCAGGCAGGAGGCCAGGACCTGACAAATACTGAAGTGATATCAAGGAAAAAGAAAAGCTGTCATCCTTCTGTGACCTCCTAGGCTTTCTGGGGGTGGGTTCAGGCCTCTCCCTTCTGTCCCCACTGGGTTTCCCGGTGAGTTTTAGGCCTGGGTTCGGGGTGCTGCCACTGTCACTAGACGGGGGCGTGGGCCACCAAGAGGCACAGGTGAGAACCGGATTCACTCACTCACTCATGTGGGTGCCAGGCCCCCAGGGGAGAGGGTTCCCCTGTCCTCAGGAAGGCTACATTCAAGTGGGAAAGACAGACCCCAATCAAATAAAGGAAATGATTGCAGGTACTAACAAACATGGGCACCGTGTTGCTGCGAGGGGGTCAGCCCCCTCCAGTGGTGATGCTGAAAGAGGGTGGGGACCCAGAGGGCGAGGCGTGTGGGGGCCAGGTCTGGAGGTGGCCACATGCCTTCGGCTCACATTCTAGCACCCCCATGGCCACACCTACCTGCCAAAGAGGCTGGGAAGTGCAGTCTGGTCGTCAGGGCAGAAGCAACCCGCTGTGATCAGCCGGCGGCCTCTGCCACGCTGCGCGACGCGAGGAAGGTCCACGAAACGAGGACGTTGAGCCCGAGAGGATTTGGGAGGGTCCAAGGCGCGTCTTCCAGCGTTGGGAGGGTCTTCGTGTGACAGGGAGGAGGACTGTCTTTGTTTTGCGTCACTCTAAAGGGCAGAAGCAGGGCCTGTGGGTGAGCAGAAGTTCTAGGGAGATGGGAAGGGTGAACAGCCATCCCGGACTGCCGGGGTTCGGCGCTGAAAGCCCAGCCCAGCCCCGCCCCGCCCCAGGAAGCCTGTCGCTGGGCAGACTCAGGTGTGTCTGTCCTAGGAGTCCTCTCAGGCAACACTCCCTTCCCCGTCCCCCCCCTTTCAGATTTGAATTATTGTGCTGTTGGCCATGAGCTCAATGTTAACGAGTCAACAATATACATCAAACAAGGTGTCTTTAAACACAAATACCACAAAACGCCGTGATGTACTGATTCACTGATGAGAATGTTGTGGCCAGAGGCTCACAGAAACCCAACCCCGTATTTGCCCAGGAGCAATGGTGCAGTATTTGCTAGTTCAGTGTTCACGGTGACTTTATAGAAAGCAACTAGCAAAAGTAACAAGAATTGACTGTAAGCCACACAGTGGAGTATTTTTTGGCCATAAAAAGAAATGAGTGCTGAAACAGTGTGGATGAACTTTGAAAACATTATGCGAAGTGAAAGAAGCCAGTCACAAAAGAGCATGTATTAAACGATTCAATTTTATGAAATGTCCAGAAGAGGGAAATCTATAGACAGAAAGATTAGTGGTTGCTTGGGACTGGGGGAGGGAGGGGAGATGGTGAGTAGAGGAGCGATAACTAAAGGGTACAGGGTTTCATTCTGGGTGATGAAAATTATCTAAAATTGATTCTGGTGATTGGTTGCACATATCTGTGAATACACTTTGGATTGTACACTTTACATGGGTGAATTGTTATGGTATATGAATTATATCTCAATAAAACTGTTTAAAAAATAACCCTCAAGAGTAACCACAGGCTCACAGGAGGGAGCAAAGCTGGGGGAGGAGGGCATACCTCAGCAGCTTCCCCCTCAGCATCTCCTGCAGCCTTCCCCTGTCTGCCCCTGCCCTTCCCAGCTGGGCTCAGCCCTAGCCCCAGGTCTCCAGCTCACACGCTAGCAAACTGAATGCTCTCCTCACATCAGGAAGACTTTCCGGTGGACGTGCTCCGTGGCAGCCTGGGGACTCCAGAAGGAAGCAACTCCTCCTCCTCTGATCATTGAAGCACAGTTTGGAAGATCAGTTCGTGGAAATGACAGAGCAGGGGTCCAAGCAGCCTAGAGCAGTGATTCTAGACGACACGACTGTAAGGTCTCTTCCAACCCAGAGAGCCTTGCATCAGTCAGGAATGCTTCTGACCACAAGTAACAAAATACCTGACAAACAGCAGCTAAGAATAAAGAGAGGTGACTATCTCCCACGGCTGGAAGTCTGGAGGTCGGCAGGTCCGAGATGGGTGTGGGTGCAGGTGCTGGACGGCTTCCTAGGCGCCCCTCCACTATCCTCAGCACTGGACTGTCCACCCTAGTCCTGCCACTTACGGTCACAGGATACTGCCAAGCCACAAGCAACACAAGAGCACACAAAAGCATTCTCTGGGGCAGAAAAGAAGAAGGTACAAAAAGACTCTCCTTAACTGACTTGTCTTTTTTACTGGGAAAAAAAAAAGTCTTTGCCAGGAGCCCCGTCAGCAGACTTGCCCTGTGCCTCACTGGCCGCAACTGGGTCGCGTGCCCAGTCCTGCAGCAGTTGTGGCGCTGCGGTGATTCGCTTTGAGCTACACAGTGTACCTTGTGAGGTTGGTGTTACTGGACTCCCATCCCTCTCCTCAACCAAACCCAGCTGCTCCCGGCAGGGAAAAATGGGGAAGGAGAATGGCTGTCGGGTGGGCCATGAAGAGCACGGGGCACGTATAATGGAAGGTGGAAGAAAAACCTACCACGTCCTCTTGCAGGAATACTGTTGTGACAGGTTGAGAACCACCAGAAAAGAAAGACTTTGATGCCTGCGATTATGAGCTCTAAACCTAACCAAATTCCACCAGTGGGGCCTGCAGCTGTAGTGCGTTAAGTCCCCAGGGCTCAGGACATCGGCCCTCGCCTGGATGGTGGCCAGAAGCACACAGCCTGCGGAAGAACGCCCGTGCAGGCACCTGCCTCCCCACAGGGCATTTCCTCATCCTGAGAAGTTGAAACTTCATTTTATCGCCTTCTTGCCTCTGTTTGCGATGCTTCTGAAGTGGAAAGCATTTCGAAAGTGATCTGCTTGCATGGACACGGTGGAGTGATGGCTCATGCCTGGAGATGTGACGCGTCTGTGATGGGCAGTGCCTTCCACATGTGGGTGTGCGTTCGCAGATACACACCCTAAATATGCCCACCATGTCTTGTGAACAGAGCAAAACAGCTGCAACCTTCTAAAAATTAATTGGTTTCTGGATCATTTGCATTTTTTAATAGTTTGCCAACAAAAAATAGCGAGAGGGGAGGGAATTTATTAATGTTCGAAGAAATTCTCCAAAAGGAGAAGAAATGAGCATTCTCAGCGAGACCCAGAGATGCTCATCTAAATCTTAGACTGCGTTGCTTTCCGCCTTTCCCGGGCAAGCCTGTGCGAGGGGGAAATTGATACGCAGCTCTAAAAGGAGACAGCTGCTGTGGACGCCCAGGAGGTGCCTGGGGCTTACATCATTTTATTCGGGGTCTGCAGTACGTTTGGTAACGGCCATTTTCAAGAAACAACCAATTTCAGGGTCTGCTGTCACAACAGGCTCACTAAAAATAAAGTCAGCATAAATAGATTAAGAAATTGACAGAATAACAAGGCATAAAGAATTAGAATGAGCACACGTGCTCCAGATGACAGCACAGGGCGCTGTGCAGAGAGAGGGTGAGGGGAGGGTGACGGCCGAGCTGCTGACTCGGGGCTTTGCGCGTCTCCTGACCGCGGGAGAGCTCGGTCCAGGGGGCAGCGGCGCTTAATCTCTTTGCACGTTAGTGGCAGAGAAGGCTCTAAACTAAGGGAGGAAGCCACTGTTGTTGTAGCGATTCCATTGTTTCGTAGCTGATGCCTCCTAAGGGACAGATTGGAAGTGTTGGAAAAAATGAATTTCTTCGGAAAACTGGCATGAGAAGCAAGGAAAAAAACGGATGTGCTAGATAGCAACTTACTGTGCTAATTCAGGGAGGTGGACTTCTGACCTAGGGGGCTCCCGAGCAGTCTTAATTAATCACCTGGCTAATCGCAAAGCTCTGGTTGGGGCTTCTGCCCCCACCCCCGCCCCCCTACCCCACCCCGTGTGCCTGGAAACCTCATTGTTTCCTTCTACATCCCAAGCTGGAAATGTCAGGGAGCCCGGGAAAACCCCCGATTCCTCATTATTTCGCCACTCACTAGTTGAATAGAACAGAACAACAGACATTGCTTTCGTGGGAATATCTTACAGAATTTTTTGGAACATCATTTCCCAACCGAGATCCCTGGTGTTAACAGGTATTAGGTTTGCAAAAAAAAAAAAAGGTGTTCTTAGCTTAAGTAAGTTTGGGGAAATTGCAGGTGGATTTAGCTCAGCAAGTGAATCTGCTGCATCAGGACTCTCCAGAGTCTTTAACATGATAAAGTGTGTTGTTGAATCTTACAGGAGGGATAAAGTAGACAGGTTTCTCAAATGAATTTTATCATTAAAACTGCCCCCTTTGGGGGCTTCCCTGGTGGCGCAGTGGTTAAGAATCCACCTGCTAATGCAGGGGACACGGTTCGAGCTCTGGTCCAGGAAGATCCCACATGCAACTAGTGCACCACAACTACAGAGCCTGTGCTCTAGAGTCCGCGAGCCACAACTACTGAGCCCACACGCCTAGAGCCCGTGCTCCACAACAAGAGAAGCCACCGCAATGAGAAGCCCACGCCCTGCAATGAAGAGCAGCCCCTGCTCGCCGCAACCAGAGAAAGCCCACGAGCAGCAGCAGACCCAACGCAGACAAAGAAAATTAAAATAAATAAATTTATAAAAAAATTTTTTAAAAACCTCCCCCCTTTAAAAATATTTTTTTTGTGGAACACCTTGGTAGAACTCTCTGGCCCTGTGTTTTGTCCTAGATACAAACCACATGGTTTTCGGTCAGTTGAATGTCCTAAAGCCAGTAGCACCTCATCCTTAAGAAAGAGGTGGAAACGTTGAGGAAGGAACACAGCCCCTTGCATTTCTTCCTAGCCAAGACCAGTTTTATTTGAAAAAGGAAACATTTTTATTGTTAGTTTTCCAGTTCAGTACCAATTAAGTTATCTCCAGGGGGTGTGCCTTCGAGAGAGGAGATGATGGCTGTGGGTTCTCCGGCTTGGGGGAGAAGGAGGAAACTACAAGGTCAGGTTAAACCCTGCCTGCCAGCAGACGCTTCGCTTGCGCCTTTCCACGCTGTGCTAGAATTCTGGCAGACATTCATCAGAGGTCAATAAAAGTTAAGTAAATGAAATGGGGCTCCGCTGTGGAGACATTTAATCGTTTCATTAGCATACTATTGTGTCCAGGTGCTTTGCCAAGTGTAGAGCCAGTTCTGGATTCATCTAATTCCTAACTGCTGGGAAAATAAGCGAGAGATTCTTCCGATGTTCCCTTCTCTCTGTGCGGCCCTCCGCAGGCAGCTGGAGGAGGAGAGGCAGCCAAGATGGCTGCCGGAAGGGCTAACCTTCCGTGTTTTCAAAAAACAGATGGCATCTTCTAATTGATCTTTCTCTTGAAGGTTCTCCAGCCTGACTGGAGTCAAGGGGAGGTGAGAATGGGAGGTGGGGTACTGGGGTGCAGGTGGGGGGAAGTGAGGGAGCTCTGGGTTCTCCAGCTTGGCCAGGGTTTCAGAGTCTCTTGGGCATCTGGATCTATGGTCCAGAGTTGGGAGTGTGCTTTTGTATAATAGGCTTCTTGGAAAACATGGTTTGGGGACCAGCCACCTCTGGGAGATCTGTGGATTCATCTGTAGCCAAGCCCCACTAGGACAAGGCTTAAGGAGCTTCCGGAATGTAGAAAAGCAGTCCATGCTGGTTGTGCTGGGGACCCAACAGCCAGCAGTGTCCATGGGGAGGGAGAGGGGCCTGTCTGGGTATCATGGGGAAGA